TCCCTTGTCTTTGTCGGTAATAGCATTCTGCCTGATATATATATATATATATATATATATATATATATATATGAAAAAAGGAAGAGGTTCTTCTTGTCTAACTGCTGAGATTTTGTCTGAAGACTTCATCTTCGAAGGCACAGCCTACGAACAAGTCAAGGGGAGGCCCATTGTGATCGCCGCCCCCGGGCTTCATTTCAGAGATGGTTCTCCATAAAGTGGAGAGCCCAGTTTTTGCAACCCATAAGGCGTAATTTTTGACTCGACATGTCGATGATACTTTCGCTGTCGTTAAGCGGGAACCGATCCAGAAATTCAATGATGTCCCGAACTCTACCTTACCTGACATCCAGTTCACAATGGAAGCAGAAATCAACAACCTATTGCCGTTCCTGGGCGTTCTCGCCCATCGAAAACCCAATGGGCACCTAAAGACGACGGTGTAGAGAAAGGTCATTAATACACGCCAAATCCTGAGTTACCATAGTAGGCACCCGTTATTGCCACAAACGCAGTTGTGGGCGAACACTACAGAAGGGTAAAGACATACTGTAGCGAGTCGGGTCACAGAAGGTCAGAGCTACGCTACCTCCAGCGTCTCTTCGTGGACAACGGGTATCCCCGCAGCTTAATCGAACGTGGAAGGAAGTCCAGACCAAGCCGACATTCGGTGACAGAACGGCCAAAATATGGCGGGCGCTTCCATACATCGATGGCGTTTCTGAGGCGGGCTCGAATCTCCTAAGACGGCTGGGGGATCGGCATCGCCAACCAACCGGAGTCAACAATTCGACGTCTGGTTATGAGACCTAAGGCGCCCCGTTTTCCACGAGGTGAAACCACGAACGTCATCTACCGGATTCAGTGTAACTCCTGCGAAGTCAACTACACAGGGGAGACCCGCAAAGGCCTGTAGGGGGCTAGGCGGTGTGAGTGGGTGGAGTCTGAGCACTACAATAATCAGGGCAAATCCTAGTGTTGTAGGGAGAAGACTGAAGGCACCAGAATGAGGGGTTTATTGTGAACAGAACCCGGGGTTGTCCTCTCAGGTGGCAGTGGCCACTGGCGAAGCCAGGGCTGGTGTTGACTGCGTCCAGTCAGGCCTGAGAGTCCCAGGGACAGTTGTGGCAGCCATTTTTGTAGGCTCGTCGGCCAAGCTCAAGTGGTCTCCAATCGGTGTGTGTTGCATTTGCCGAGGCGTGGTGTCTCAGTGGCTTGTTCTGCTGGTTGCAGGGGGTGGCGCGTTCAAGTGGCGCATGGGCAGCCGCGACGCTGTGTGGACGCAATTGTGTCCGAGCTGAAGTCGGTCGAGTGGCTTTAGGTCAGCTCGTCTGGGACGGCTCGCTGCAAGTGGCGAATGAACTTGGGGCAGCGGGGTCTTGAACAATGACACCAGACTGGTCATGGTGGCTGGCCGCCACAAGCCTACAGACTCGTGTTGGAGAACACATGAGGGCAGTCAGGAGGATAGATCCTCTGACTCTGTTGGCAGAATACTGCACCGACTCCGGACACACGTTTGCCTCCGGAATGGCGAAATTCTTCCCCGAGGAAACAACCGCATGGCCAGGGAAACGATCGAGGCCTGGCACATTGGCACAACCTCCATCAAACGTCGTGTGGCGCTTCCTGCGGCCTACCCAGACCCCGAGACGCAGCTCAATGAGCAAAAGAGCAAACGCGAGCCCAGCCTAAACATGAATCCAAGCATGAGCGAGTCTATTGCGGATACACACTCAGCCGCCCCTCAACCTGGGTCCGACGAAGGCACAGTCGCCACTACAGCCGTTCCATCCACTAGTCCGACAGACAAGAAAACGGACAGTCGTGGCGGCGTAAGTAAGATTGCCAGCCTTGGGCGACGGTTAAGGTCAGTGAAGGTACGAACGACGGCCGCCCCTTCCATCCTACCGCCCTGACTGTATATGTGAAAAACTCGTCTTAACATGATCGTCACCCACCTATAAACACTGTGAGAGGCGATACCACACTCATCTCCGACGATGGAAGCTTGTTTGCTCTTGAAACGTCAGGACAGAGAAACTTTAGTTTCCGAGGTCGCCTTTTCTTTGCATATATGTATATACATACAGGAGGGTGCCAACAACGACAAGGGAGGCAGGGATGGTCATTACTGGCTAATTAACCGTTGCCGGACAGTCATATTCATACCCAAGTTTGTCGCACCCGACCCTCGATCCCCCATTCTTTGCTCATCGAAGGGTATTAAGTCCAGCGCTCTATCAACTAAGGGGCAGTTCTTGGCGTTCAGTGCGGAGACTTTGCTTCTTCCAGGATAATTCCCGAAATTCCAATGAACACTCGAGTCGATTACAAACAATTTCTGCGGAATTACCGCGTAATGCCCATTCCGCAAACAATTAATGCTACAAGTAGTTCAGTTTTAAGATGATAAACGTTTTGACGCATTCTTAACAAAGGTACTAGCCAAAGTCCGGACATGTATATCGCTGATTGCTTTCGTTTCCCGTGACTCAGTGGTTAAGTGCGTTGGACTTCTGACCAGCAAGTCACGGGATCGCGCTTCACTTACTGCACACCTCGGGGTTCGGTATTACTAGCCGACGATGACTAATAAGCTAGAAATGGCCATCCCAGTCGCCCTTGTTTTTGTCGGTAATGATATTCTGTTTTCGTCGAATCTAACATAAGACTCGGGCGACTGGCCCACGAGCCATGCTGCACTTTGTTGACTAGAACTGCCGCGCCCAGCACCGAACGGTAACCATTGCTTGATCCGAGAAATTGCCTATTTATTTTTTTCTTTTTTGGACTGCACATATTACTGCTCTTAGCCAGTATAAAAAGCAGATGTTGGCTCCGGCATTTTTATTAATTTTTACTATTCATTGACAAATGCAGCTCGTTTGAGAATTTTATGGCTACAGCTGGTCCTCTCTTTATCTTATAAATGCCCATGGAGGCCCTTTTCTCCTAAAATAAGCCCAACACCCACACACTTATCCAATTCCCGTTTTCCTTCTTATTGCACGCGTCCAAATTAATATATCTACAGCATCAATGATAGATGTCAATTTACCTACGCCGCTGCAGCGGTTGCTAGCGAACCGCGTGGGCCATATACAGACCGCAGTCACTACGACCCGCAGGCTCGCTCCCGAATAAAAAGGGGGAGAGGTTAAACTCCAGGAAAGTAGTTCATTATATTCTGTACTGAATGATTGGATAATAGGTTGGAGGAGGTTGACAGTCGGACGATGACACACGTCCGGCACCGCGAGAGCAGGCGTCTGAAAGCCTAGCGGAGCAGACCCCAGAGCTCCTTGATGGAAGGCATATCTGAGCCGGCCTTGAGGTGGATTAGTCGTTTTGGATAACTGTGATTGACTGAGAACCAGATTGCGGCTGGTACGCGTGTGCAAATACGCCCGAGAGGCGCACTGATGCAGTAGACACCCGGAGTAAGGCCACTAAAAACCTCATCAATGAGGGCAAACACCCAAAATACACCGTAGGCGGATCTGTGGCTCAGAAAGGACTAGAATCATTCTGATTATGCAGGCCGGTTGTACTCCTTTGAACTAGTTCATGTGTCGGAAGGGTGAAGATGTAACGTGACTTATTTTGGGTAATCATATAGACAGACCTTAAAATGCATCTGCTTAAATAGGTCCCGGGTAAAGCACTCTCACAAAAATGGAAGACCATTAGTTAACTGGGACTTTCGGTACCAGGAAACTGTGTGTCGCTCATTCTCTTTAAAACCCGCTGACTAACTCATCAGCCATTCAGGTAAACAATGCGAACAGAGTTTGCTAAGGAACATGAAAGAGTGGCAGTCTGACTTTTGATTAACGCAAACTTGTTAACGTCGGCTATTTCCCCATACCCCGACAGAAGTATGCATGGTCTACGCAGAAAAACAGAGATAAACTTTATTGATATAGGTCAACGGACTTTTTTCCGGAAACCTAAACGATATCCACTATAGGAGCCTGTGGATTTCAGACTGCTCGAAAAGACTCGTTTGCAAAGCTCTAGGATCCATGACTAATTTAAAAGCGAAAGCGAATTTTCCTTTCCAGTGTTTATTTTCATGTAACTGCTGTTTCATGGATGTCTCTATAAACCCGGACTTTTTGCCGAAAACAGTTTTAAACAAATAGCACGAGTGCAAAGACGAAAATACTGATAATAAGGTACTGAAAAATGGGGGCCCCGATGCGTGATTAATAAAGTGTGAAGTTAATTTTGAAAAATAATTATTCCGCAAATTTTTGCGGGCGGTTGCGTGCTCTGTCCTCACACGAATTGCAAACGTTCGAATGCGTTAGCTTGTAAGGTACGCAGAGGATTTCTCGGCACACTCATTCAAAGAAAGGTTAGCACTGCAGCTGTTATGGACCAACAAGTGCATTAGCATTCAACTCGCGAACGAAAAGAACTCCACCGAAGGCCAGGAAATGAGCCTTATCAGTGTGACAGAACTCTCCTTACCAATAGAATGTCTGCGTCGCGTGTGGCTCAACCCTCGACTGGTCAATACCGGCCGGTATTTCGGGTTTCACTGGTTGGCCGTCGTCGGACATGACTCAGGTGCACACTTACCTTGCGCTAGCGGGAGCAACCTCAACAGGTGGACCTCAGTTTGGTTGAACTTTGAGTGTCGCCAAGCTTTGCGTCGCTTGTACGTTATCTGCGGCAGTAAAGGCTTAGCCTCTCCCGAGTTTCTGCTTCGAGAAACTTCCTCTGCAGGCAATGATAGTCTGTCATGTAAACGGGGGCTGACGGCAGTTAACCAGAGGATCGAGGGCCGTGACGAAATCTGCACTGAAAATGGCACAGGGAATGTCAGCAAGGACAGAGGTCGAAGGGGAGAGACGTCCGAGACAGTTGTTCGGAATGAGGGAGCAGGTACCGAACGTGGCAGTTGAAGAGGTGCTGACGGCCTGAAGAGGCCGGGATTGGGGCACCGACGGTCGGCTGCTGTGGGAGGGATGACATCCAGCTGAGCAACAGTATCAATCATGAAAAGGTCTGTCACTCCGGTTGTCGTAGACGTAAAAAGTGCGACCGGGGTTAGAGCTGCCAGGAAGATTGGCCGCACTGACCTCGGGGCTGGGCAATTTGTTCTGATTGGAGATGAAAGAGCGGAGAGAGGTGCAGCGACAGGTTTTAGCAGCAAAGGTGGTTCGATGTCAGCCGGTGGCGGTTGTGTTGGAACGGGATGGTAGATTAGGCTGGACCTACCGAACAGACGACCTCGGCAGGCTCCGGGATGAAGGGGAGGCTGTCTGCATTTGAAGAGAAGCTATATTCTGGGCAGGCTTTGCAATCTTAGACTTCAGGTGCAAGGGGAAGAAGCAGGAGAAATTCAAGATGTTAAAACACCGGAAAATGATGGCTTGGGAAAACCGCGCATTTCTGTAAACCGTCCGGTTATCTGAGCCAGATGTGCGGCCGAAAAAACGTCAGAGGCCGGTGCTAAAATACATAACTCCTCCGGTGGATAGCTGTCCATATTCAGCATATGACTGTATCGTAGAGCTGGAAGGAGGAAGATTGCCGTTCGTGTAAGGAGTCACCAGTTATTGAAATGGCGGGCAGACTCGAGATTTCCAATGTTCAACAACACGGAGATTCGGAAATAACTAGTCAAGGAAGACAGATTATGCCGGACAAGCTTCACTGACGTAAAAGAGCGTACAGGAGGCTCAGCAAACCATTGCCGCATGTAGCCAATCAGCGAAGGGGTAGCGCTGATTGGTTTCGAACTATCGCATGCCCCGCGTGGTCCCAGCAGCGACTCGACAAGGAGCGAGAGGTAGACAGAAGAACAGCGTGACAAACCGATAGCAATCAAGGGAGCGTACTGCCACACCCTCATCCCCACTTTTGTTTAGGGAAACTCCTAGCTGTGACCCCGATGCGTTTCGAACACTCATTAACCTCCTCTTATTATTATTGGTCGCTATGCTGCTGTCTGTGAGAGCTCTAGATTGAGCCCTACGGCGCGATGGACAAACATGTCCTGGTGAATGCGTCCCCATCACACTGAAATTTCCCCAGGTAACTGTTATGCATGCCCTCTTCATTGAAAAGCCCTGATACCTCAAATACGAACTGGAAGTTATCATCAGCCAGGCTAAGACGATTTACAATCACAACATCTGTGATAACGGTGTCAGTTGATGCCGTCTTTCTGTTGGTACTTTACCCCTTGAGTTTTGCGAAGTTCTACACTGAGGAACTCTTGCAAATCCATAACACTGGTGTTCTTGCAGATGCCCAGCTGAAACAATTATTCTTTGCTTGGGAATAAATTATTTGTACTCTGCTATCATTTAATGCCTGAAGGTGGTACTGTGCATCTGTATAACTCTGACTCCATCACAGAAGCGGCAGTGAAGAAGCTTTAAATGACAATACCTAATTTGTTTCACTTAAGGATGTGGTTCTTCCTCATGAAGTAAAGAATGGTTTTAAGAAAAGGGATAAACTGCAAACATACCCCGTTATAGGTGAATTAATATTTTGAGGTTGCCATGAACGCTGGTCTACAGTCCCGATAGCTTTACGAATGTGTGATAGGAGCCATGTCCGTGGATAGCTACCAAAGACATCCGTTATCTTCCAGTCCAGTCGTGCAGGCTCGCTAGTCTTGGAAACACCAATAAAGGACGACCATCGTAGTTTAATGTTGTTTTGCAATCGTCGACCACCTCTAGGTTCAGTTGAAATGCTAGCATTTGCACTGACTTCGTTGGCCCTTGTTGCGATGACTGCTCAGCTAGCAGGAAGAGCATGGAAGGGTTTGGATGCCAAAATGTCAGATAATCTCCAAGGTAAGTAATTGTACTATCAGCAAAACCACTGGGAAATGAACGCACAGCGAACTGATTGGTGAACCAGAAGAAAACAATTGCATCATCTGGTAATCGGGAGTCCAAATAGGCGACCGCATGCCTGACCGCAAAGCAATTACGTGAACAATGTCAGTATTAGAGAAACATGCAAGGGCTATTGAGACAGCTACGGTCCGGACCTTCTGTAATCAGCAACACGTCCCTCAAAACAATGCCAGATCTGACGCAAACGGAAATGCATATACCACAGGCGTAAGTTCCATAGGCGTGGCCACGTTGGTGATATTGTTTACCTGATCTTTTTGTGACCTGCTGTCTGGTTGTCTATATGCGATCCTTACTACCAGCTGACGCAGCTGTCGTCACCAGTAGCGTCAGTTTGAATAAACATTCGACCTGTCGTCGACGAGACCGACTGATGGGCATACACTGATGGAACCTCCGTTTAGGATGCTGCCGGGCCACTGTCACAGCTGATAAGGTCACTGATAGATCCTACTCACTCCGACTCCCAAGCCGGACCCAATGTTGGGGAAGTAGACTCCTATAGAAGTAGAACCCTATCTTATACAAAAGAGATGAAGAGTCTTTGGTGGAGGTCTCACGAGGGATATGGATCCTGTCCGTCTCTCTGATTATGAGCCTTAGTATACGTCCAGGAGTGAGAGCAAGAGCGTTGGACCCATCGAACACAATGCGCCCGCTCACTGCAGTTGGCTGGGTACGCATGATAGTTCGACAGTCACATCTGACAATGTTCACCGTATGCTCCACAACAGACTGAGAGCAGGGACGGTCCACAGCACACACTTGACCAGAATTTTCACCAACAACGACAAAAGAATGGAGGCTGGCACGGCCGAAGCCGGGCCTAGGCGTAACGCTACACACAGTGAGAGTGCCATAAAGACCACATTGTGAAGGAGCCATTGCAGCCTGAATCTCAGGCCACCAACCGACCACTCCATACAAATACTCAACACTGGACCGACTGCGTGGTCCAAGTTATCCCGTCAGTTGACAACCTTCCAAGCCACGGCTTTCAGCGCACCGTGATAGTTTCAAGCGCGTCGGATTTTTTATAGTGAGGAAAGTGCGCTGAATCGTCGAACTCACTCTCCCTTCCCATTCTCAGACCTCAGCCACTGCCCGAGCTGGTCAGTTGACTGGAACAGGGAATGGGCGCAGTGGCTGACAGAGCTAGAGATTTTAACCACGCTTGTGGATTATGTACGCTGTTGGTGTACCTCTGTCGGAGTGCACGGCCCGGGATACGACTTACAGAAGACATGGCCAAGTCTGAAACAGCTGCTGCCTCCGTCTTATTAGCCACCATCCGTCCGCCACTAATACAGACGTTTACCTCGCAGCCACTGTATGTATGTTGTTTTCACGTTTGTACAATGCACGCATGTTTGATTCCATCCAGGGTGAGGTCTAATGACGCTTAGTGGGGTTCGTTGAACTCAGCGCTATCAATTGAGTTAATAGACTAGGAGACGTAAATGTCTCTTTGAACAAAGGTTGAGGACTTGAATCCATTGTTTCTTACCTTACTCATCTACTATCTCTCTTACATGCTGCCGGGATAAGACTTCAGGTCAAAAAAACCATCGACGAACGGATGTCCTCGATGATTACTAGATTGTCTCGAGCTATGTGAAGCTTTCCAATGTCCGCCATACAAAAAAAGCCACATGGGTAGAGAAAAACGTCCTCGCCTTATGGTTTTTGAATTCCTATTATTTACTTATAAGGCCAGCCTTCAGGCTAATTGGATCGGATAGCGCAGACTAAATTGACGATTCTGATGGAGCTCAAATAGTCTGTCACTGAGATGTGCATCCTGGGGAGACGGTTCCGAGTCATGCGCTAATGCGGACAGAAGATACAAATGCTAACATACCCTTAGAACGCACTTTTGCGGAAACTTTTATGGTTCAAGTCGCCAAAGTTTGACGTCAAACAAACTGACTGAAGAATTAAATACATTGCCTATTAGACTGTGTGTTGCCATATAGGCAACGTCCGCTTTCTGTGGTTTGGGTCAGTTTGTGCATCCAAGTGCATATTCATCAGCAACATTCGCAAGAAGCAAAACAAGTGCGACCAAAGGTACGGCGGGGAAGGCGGGCCACGGGCTGTTTATTTTGCCTCATTAATCTGCGAGCAGATGCTGATATCCTTCCTTGCTGTAGATTACAGCATAGCTTTGTCTAGGATTAATTAAGCCACTTTGTAAGCCAGAGGAAGAGCGTCACACGATGCGAATCAGAGTATTTTTAAACCGGATTGTTACTCCACCATTGTTTTACATCCATAACGGCGCTTAACCAATTATACAAGGATTTTACCTTCAGACCAGACAGCTCCTGTTTGGGTGTAGCTTTTAGTGTTGATCTGCTTGAGGTTACATTGGCAAAAACTATGATGTAAATCACTTCGTTAGTTAATTGGGGAGGACAGAAATCCTTCATATGCTTCTGTCTTCTAACCTAAAAATAATTACAGCATTCTGAATTGTGGATTTAAAATCTTTGCAAACTTTACTCCTTCAGGATGACAAAAAGAAGTTCGCTTGGCTAATTTCCGAAATGGCGCAAAACCTGAATATCCAGTTGTTTGAAACATTCATGTTTTTAGGGAACGGTATCGCATGTACGTCCACTGATAAAATGACAAGCAAGGCTGTCTGTAATCCTTAAATCTAAAATTAAAACCTTAACTCTAACCCTCGCCCTAATCCTAAAACTTGGAACTGATTCTAATCTTAAGCCTTACTATAGCTCTAACCTTGACCCTGACACCAACCTTGGCCCTAATCTTAACCAGTAATATTCAAGTCAGACTAGCGTTGACGCTCGCTGCGAGGCCCAGGGTGTGAGTCAGTTGCATACCGCCTTTTGCAATCTGTCACCGGGCAAGCCATAACGAAACATACCCGAATAAAATAATTGAAAACGTTTTAGTTATAAGGACTGTGTTGACTGCATACGGTACCACCGCCTTTTTTATTTTGTGACACCAAGTTGGGAAACAGCGATGCGCTAGAGGCACGTCGGCGAATGAGTCTCCCAGGGAAATTCCCTGAGCGCTCATCAAATCATTGCAACTAAAAGTTCCCGAATATCCACACTCGAACAAGTAAGCCAGTCAGCACTCCAATTTCCGCATGCTGCAGCTCTGTAGACAAGGTCTCAATAGGTCCCAGGCTCACATGCTAAAACAAGAGGTCTAACATTTAGGACTCTCAAGCTAAATAGTGGTAGGAGCTAGGAAGATGACACCCTTGACATTACTAATTAGTTATCTGCACGGCAATTTTCAGCAGGGGCTGTTCTCCCTGTCATTAATGGTGACCTTCTCTACAACAGAAAAATAATTCATTATAAATACGGCTTTTATAAACGGTATCCGCTCACAAAAAAAACCAGAGGGGGCGGGTTCCGAGGCGATTACTGATCTAATAACCCCTCGCCCCAGAAGAAGCATCGACAGTGAGAGGTAAAAAACTGATCCGGTTTCAAAACGCCTTGACTGGGAGTTGTCGGCTTATCATAATTTTGAACGCATGAGTGTAGAAAAATGTGATTATATTGCCAATACAATTCTCTTAAGACCATATCGGCATAGCACTGGCACAGACTCCGCACCATGGATCAATGCTTCGGAAATTTGTTGAGAAAGGGCCCCAGGAAGACCTACTGAGAGAGGTGTTTTGTCTACTTGAGGTTCCTGCATAACTGTTCGGAGTCGGAAAAGACTGGCATTTACTCAAATTAATGGAACACATTGTAAAATGGAAGCCGCGCTTTAGGCTTACTTTACATATGAAGGGACAAGGCCGACAACTGCCGAACTGCTTTCGCAGAAGCGTTTATTACTCAGCAAGTCTCCTCCAAAATCCACGCTGCAACTGAAGGTAAAAGGTTGCGGTAATCACAGTCACATGTGACGACATACCCGCACTTGCAGCATAAGTTACGAAAACCGAGAACTAAGAAGCCAAAAGCAATTGAACCACGGAAACCACGGGCGGAAATCAGGCTGCAACGCTTTGTGGTTTACAGTTCGAATTACTGTGTGCAAAGTATAGACCACTGCAACTCCTTTTTCTGGTCAATATCCGTTACATAATCTTGAGAAGACAAAGGGCGAGCCACCCCTAACTACAACCACTGCTACCATTACTACTACTACTACTACTACTACTACTACTACTACTACTACTACTACTACTACTACTACTATTACTACTACTACTACTACTACTACTACTACTACTACTACTACTACTATTACTACTACTTCTACTACTACTACTACTACTATTACTACTACTACTACTATTACTACTACTTCTACTACTACTACTACTACTACTACTACTACTACTACTACGTCTGAAGGTAACTTTAGTGTATTCGTTCGTTGTTTGGTACTTACTGAACGAACCGACGAAAGGCCAAAGCGTTTTAGCTGTTCCGAGGCCCAGTTTCATGACTTCGTGTAGAGCTAATTGGCCGTAAGCCAATGGTGCATGAAAAGACGAGTCGAATGGGGGAGACAGGGAAAAATGAGGCCGTGAATATTTTGGTTTTCGTCGGTTGGTTCCATCGTATCAGTGGGCGGGAAATGGATCTCGTGGGCTGTGAGTCTAAAGAAACATCATTTGGCTGTGGAGATTGGGTTAGAGCCTCCTACCTAAAATGCTTCCCCGTCTACCAGCCTTAGAATTAGCTGCAATACCAACAGAGTCACGGTTACAACCATTCGGTGCGAACGGCGACAGACTTCAAGGGTAAATTTTCGAAATAATGATCGCGTCTTCGGCCGTCTAGTAGGTCATAAGTATCATTGGTTCCTATGCCCAAAAGATAAGAAAATCAGATAACTTTATGAATATCTTAGTGGTAAAGCATACGTGACCGCGAACCACTATCACCCTGGAGGCTGATTCGCAATAAAATATCACCATTACCAGGAATAAAATAAGAACAAATCCTGCAATTCTTGATGCAAACTGAAAAAAAAGTATAGGTTATCTTAACGATCAAGTTAGCAGGCTAGCCTAGATAGTTTGCACACTTATTCGAAACCCTCAGTCATGGTTCCATCGCTTAGGGTTATAGAGTTTCCTTTAAAGTCTGATTTGAGTTATTTTTACGCACTTAAATGAAATAATGTTTTCAAACCAGACTCAGGAAATGGTAGATAGGCTATCACGACAATTATTTAGACGATCATACATCACCGTCGAGTAATGTGTCTTCTAGGCATCTTTTGGACACATCAGTCAGACTAGAACCCAAACCATTACGATAAGTGGTAAACCTGTTTCCATATAGCGCTTGCATGTTTAATTCTCATTACGGACATTTCCGTGGCTGCGTGTGGATCTGTACTTTAAGCATTTCAGTCAGTTTTAGGGTCGAAACGGAACGGACACGAGAGCGGACATTATATAATCTGCTCGCTTTTAAACCTGTGGAAGACAGCTCCAGAGTAGCCCAAGACCGTCTGCGTGTCTGTGTCGGACGACGCCAAAATTCAATACAACACTCAGCCAGGCGTGGTAATCAAAACTTTTCGCGCACAGAGCATAACAAAGCTGGTAAATGCAGTTGAACTGAGGACTCCAGATGTTTGTTGCAAATAGAAAAAAACGCAAGTTAGATGAATAAGGTAGACCGGACTTAAAACGTCAATTACATGCAGCTCACAGATTCATTTGCCTTAAAAGCGGGTTGGGCGGCTGCTTAGACCTACCATTATAAACGCCACTGGTGATAGACTGCCACAGTATGAGCCGATTCTCATGAAACACCGACTGGAAGCCTTCAATGCACTTTTTGATAGAAAACATTACTAAATACGGATGGCAAAACTGAACAAAAGCCATCGGTAACAATTGGGAGAGGGCACCCAAATGTCCGTTGCCTAGAAATAATACCTGTTATACCTATTTGAGTAGGTTATGGCCCTACATATTTGTTGTTTCTTCCGACCTCAATTTTATCTGATCCGCAGTGCACATGTTGCCTAACTTAGATTATCATAGTCTCCAACAGTTGAGGTGCGACCGCTGCAGACCGAGCCATGGTGAATCTACCTTGACCTAGGCGTACACGGCTGAAGAGTGACAGCAGTAGTGGAGTTGCGGCTAAATCTACCCTTGCATACCTTAGAGGAGTTGAGAAACGATCGCTGTATGCCGACCATTGATTTGCCATCCTTCACATATGCATGCTTAGGTCAAGAGCGACGACAATAGTCGGAGAATAGTTGGAGAATAATCACTTTAGTCACATCCTATGTCTACCAACCTTGACATTAACTTCCACAGCTGAAGAGCGAGCGCATTTGTCGATATGCGGCTTAATCTATGGTAGCATACGTTCAAACACCCACGATACGATCGCTGCGGACCGGCCCTTCGGCTTATCCACTATGAGCATTTCTTCCTTAGGTGAGGAATGACCGCAGTTGTAGGTATGGGGCTCAATCTGTGGAACTATACCCTTTGAACAGTTGCGAAACGATCGCCGTAGACCCACCCTACGTTAAACAACCTAAATATAAGCTTCCACTGCGGACAAACGACCACAGTAGGCCCTATGCGGAGTATTCTATAGAAGCTTACCTACGGTCAATTGCAATACTATCGCCGTTGACCGAACACATGGATTATCAATTTTTACCTTTACTTCCAGAGATCACGGGGCTACCGCAGTCGCCAGTGTGAGGCTCAGTCAGTGGCTGCATAGCTAAGGACAGTTGCGATAAGATCGCTGCTTTGGCCAAGCAGTATTTTTTAGGTGTCCTCTCCCGATTTTTACCAAGCCATTCTAATTCTTGCACATTCTTACAGCGCAGCATCTTCGGTTTTTGCTTAGCAAATTTCCAAAAAATGTGCCTTTGTGACAGGCTGATGAAACTACCCGAGCAGGCTGTAATTCTCCCATCGCTTTTCAATGCTCATAGAAATTTATTCCATACCTGTTGGGAAAAAGATACTTTTTTAGATAGTTATGTTAATTTCCGGCTTCATACTTGATGAAATTGCGATTCTAGATTCATAAGTTTTGAAGTTGAAGGGATCTACCAGATGTCCGCACAAATATTTACTTATGCTTACTAGTGCTGCTTTAACATCGGAAACATTATTAATGTGTATTGAATTGCTTTATTGTTGCCGGTAGTGGTCGTCATAAACATGAAGGAATTATAGACTCGTTTTACAAAAAAATGGATTGTGTGTAGGTTGGAGTGTTTATGACCAAGAGAAGGTGGACGTCGTGTTTGAAGACATGCAGGTTTCAGCAAACACCGTTAAACTGAAGGAATCCCCTTTCAGGCACAAAACGTCTTTTCAAAATGTATGTACACCAGGAACTTGCGTCCACCACTTTTAAGGAACGCGAAAGTGTTAACTGACCAGGTCTGAGTTTCTCTCACGCAGCTCCTCATTAATCGGTGCTTGAGGATTCAGGTTTTGTCTTTGCTTTTTTGCTGGGAATGAGCACACGCCATCAACCGTCCCGGTGCAAAAAATGCATCTGTAGAGGTACCATGATATATGATAAGACGACCCGCGCTTATCATGACAGGGTAGGTCTGCAGCAAAGTTAACTATTATAAACGATTTGCAGGAAGGCATGTAAGCTTTAAACGAATTTAGATATGGAGTAGCTTGAACCGTGACCCAACGCACAAGGGGTCTAAAATGCTATTACTGCCAAATTTCCATTTATTGGACACTCTAAATTTAAGGAAATCTTCTCAGCAATTTAAAGCATCACTCTCAAACTTTGTATGAGGATTTCGAAAGTTGCGTAATGAAACTTCTTTGTGAAATATTGTTTTTCGTTGAAACTAGCATTTATCTTTACGATCTTGCTGGAGCGAAGGGACAAAGACTTCTCGGTTTCCATCTGGCAGAGGCGGGACTGAACGCAATAACCCTCCTTTCGTTTTGGTCCGTGCCGCAAACTGTTCTCCGCACTACCGATGTTTCGTACTTTAACTTACTTCCTGTCTCATGACGCAGTGTGACGCCCCATGACCGAAACTTAGCGTTCATCCATTTTCGATTGCACGGGATTTGACTACACGCAGCAGTTGAGGCGGCAAAAAAAATTTCAGGTTTCTTAACAATGCGAACCTTTCTTGCTCAAGTGGAAATATTTATGGATATAAAACTTAGTGGCACGTTGTTGCAAATGAACGAACACATTGTCTGCATCGGTCTAGTATTCCTAATTTTAATATGATTTACAAGAAAGTAGCACGACAACTTAGATTTTTAGACATCCACTTCAGGCGAATTACTAGCAAAGAAAAAAGATGGGAAGACATGCGAGTTTGTACGCCAAATCATAGCTACAGAATACTACTTTTTGCTCGACGGGTAATATAGCTGACAGCATTGAAGATGCAGTAATCAGAACTTTTGGAGATTGAATTTCTCCGTTCTCGCTTGCATACGGCAAAAACCTTTGAACAATTTATCCTCAATCTTCTAGAAGCAACGGAAGCGTGTTATCGATTAAGCAGTCAACGGAAGGGTTTGGAAGCATTCTGCTGAAACCTTCAATATATATACATATATACATATATACTGATAGGGGGCGCTCACCGATCGTTCTTACGGAACTCACTCGTTCCGTTGTGCCTTATGGACTCTCTCCCGAGCCTAACCAGCAACCGCACAGCGGCGCATGATATAGGCAGAATGATATTACCGACAAAGACAAGAGAGACTGGAATGGCAATTTCTGCATATTAGCCGTCGTCAGCCAGTCATACCCAACCCCGAAGTGTGGCACACCCGAGGCTCGAACTCGCGACCTGTTTGTTGGAAGTCCACGCCTCTAAACACTGAGCCACGAGCCATTCCAGTGTCCCTTGTCTTAGACGGTAATATCATTCTACCTATATCATGCGCCGCTGTGCGGTTGCTGATTGGGCTCGAGAGAGAGAGTCCATAAGGCACAACGGAACGAATGAGCTCCGTAAGAACGATCGGTGAGCGCCCCCTACCAGTGTATATTCCCGATCGAAAACCGACAGAGCAACGGGCTCGTGGCTCAGTGGTTAGAGGCGTGGACTTCTAACAAACAGGTTGCGAGTTCGAGCCTCGAGTGTGCCACACTTCCGGGTGGGGTATGACTGGCTGACGACGGCTAATAAGCCAGAAATGGCCATTCCAGTCTCCCTTGTCTTTGTCGGTAATAGCATTCTGCCTACATATATATATATAGCAGCGAGGAGGGACGACAGAGAATGCGGGTAGATTGATACAGCACTGTTTCGGGCTTATTCTGCCTTCATTCAGCCAGTCATAACCCTGACCACCAGCAGCTTTGTGAAGCCAATAGATCGGTGTGCGCCCATTCCTGATTGAT